AGTAATATTTGATTGGTTTTTAGTAAAAATCAATAAAAAAAAAAAATTAGCGGAAATTTTCACTAATATTGAATAAAAAATTACTACTACTTGAAATGGTAATATTTTTATTTTTACTAAATTTGTAGTGAAAAATTCTTTTTTTTAGTGAAAAATGGCTAAAAATTGGTAGAAATTATTGATAATTTTTTGTTAAAATATTACAAATTGATTTAGTAATATTTTTTTCACTAAACTTTTAGTGAAAAACAAATAAAAAATTAGTAGAAATTTTCACTAATTTCTAGTAAAATATTACTAGATTTAATTGAATAGAATTTATTTTACTTAACCTTTTTTTTTCTTAGTTAAAAAATGATTAAAAATTAGTAGAAATGTTCACTAATTTTTAGTAAAATATTAGTATTTAATTTAGTAATATACACTGAAAAAAGGGTTTGGTATTGACAACCAAACATTTGGTTCAATAAAACAAACATTTTTTTTATTGAATCAACAAAATTTTGGTTGTCCCAATCAAACTTTAGTTAGGACAAGAAAAATCCTTTTTTTCTAATTTTGGTTGTGTCAAATAAATTTTGATTGAGACAATTAAAATTTTGCGTTGATTCAACAAAAAAATTTTGGTTGCTTAAATACCAACCAAACGTTTGGTTGTCAATACCAAACCCTTTTTTCAGTGTAGTTTTTACTAAATTTTTAGTAAAAAATGACTTAAAATTAATAAAAAATTTGTTTGTGTTTTTGAATTTTTTTATTTTTATTCCTGAATTATAAAGCAATGAAATTTGAATTGTTAATGTACATAAGAGAAAAAAAATAAAATTATCAAGTTTCACGAGATTCTTTTTTAACATTTCATTGCTATAAGACGACGTTTAATCACAGTTTCAAATAAAGTAAAAATCTAAGATTTCTTTTTCTTTTTTTTTATGTGCAATGGAACAATCCCACTAACTTTTCTCCTAAACATCAAGAGGAAACTCACAGACAAAAGATTCATCTATACTCTAACAAGTTTTTCAACTTCCTCATTCCTTTCAACTAGTTTTCTTATATTGTCTCTATAATCAGATGTTTTTGTTGAATTGTAGCTGGAAATTCTTTTACTCATAAAAAAAAAAAATTTTAACTTAATCACTTTATTACAGGAAAAATGAGGAATGTGTTTTTTTTCTGTAATAACAGATCTTTATAAAGCAAATAAAAAAAAATAGGACTAAAACACTTTTAATTCGAGAAGAAAAATAATTTTTTTTTTTATTCTTTCTTTTATTAGTATTTTTACTCTGGGGAAAAGATATATAAATAAATATTTAATTTATTTGTTTTAAATAAATTTTAATTTTAGTTCACGGAAAAAAATCTTCATCTGAAACAGCGATAAATTTTACTGGAACACCGATATATTTTACTAAAATAGCGAAAGTTTTTGCTATTCTAGAGAAACATATCGCTGTTTTGGATAAAGATTTTTTTTCGTGTTAAATAAAAATTTTATTTACGCTTAATAAAATTTTATTTGTGCTAAACAAATTTTTTTTTATTTAAAACAAAGATTTTTTTATATTCTGAGACAAATTAATTTTTATTTTGCTTCAAATAAATTTTATATATACGCCAATAAAATATTTCTCTGAATGTTGAATTCTTGTTTAGAGATGGATAATGGTATAAAAAAAAATTTTTTTCCTCTTAATATGAGATTACAGTAAAATTTAATTATTTTTAAAACATGAAAAGAATTTACTTTTTTTTTTTTTGGTTTTGCAAACAACACTAAATGTTGATATGGTAAATGTTAAATTTAGTTTCAAGATAAACACATCTAAAGTGTATATGCATAGGTTGAAATTACTGCCAATCCGTTTAATTTTGAGGCCACCATAATCTCATCTAACTTAATCTATCCGTGCTATCTAAACCCTTCTAGGCTTGAGGTGCATAACTGGATAATTCAGAGTAGATCAACAAACTCATTGTCAGCATCTCTTGAGTAAATTTTCTTAACTTTGTAAATAACAAATTTTTCGGAGAAATATAGAAAATAATTTTTTAAAAAATTTTTTTTATTTAGAAATTAAATAATTTTTTCTATTTTTATTTTTCTGAGTCAGGAGCATATGTTGAGATTAATATATATATATGATTTCCTAAGCCAAAATCTTATGGCTGCTTGAAACACCGCTAATATGCGAATTACGTGGTTAAGGAAGATCGTCGAACATCTGCGGTTATAACCAAAAGCATGAGACCTCAAACCTGTTAAGTAACTCAATCAGATTCTGGAGGTCACATCCAAATATCGTCCAGTTAGTTCTAGAAGGTAGTAAACCGAATTCGGTTTAATTACTTGATGTCTCCACTCGAACTCAATGAATCTATACGGACTGTGTATGCTCTTGTGTACGTATATATAGTATAAGGTTAAATTGTGGAGAAGAAACAGATGCAGCGGCAGTTCATTTTATATCTAGGTTAGAGGATAATCATTCTATCAACAAGTGCACTTTTTTTAATATCATAACATTTGGGTTAAGATTTTTGTAATATTTCCAAAATCATATAAAAAATTTCACAATTTCAAAAATTTTTGTCGATTTTGGTCCATTGTAAATCGGATGCTGTTGGTCCTAGCAAAAAAAATAAAGAGAATAAATCTGTTTTGGTGTTTCCGAGACGATATTTCCAAAAAATTAGAAATTTTTTGTACACTTTGGTCCATTGTACCTGTACTGCCTACCAAAAAAAGGCCTCGTACATTTTTTTAGAGCACTATTTTAGGATAACTCTCCTACTATTCTCGAGATTTTATCTCGGGAATTTCGAATTTTTGAAGTTTTTTTTTCCATTTTGGTCCAGCCAAGCTCGGATGCTGTTAGGCCTATCGAAAATGCCACATACATTTTTTTAGAGAACTATTTTGGGATAAATCTTCTACTTTTCCCGAGATTTTATCTCGAAAATTTTGAATTTGAAAATTTTTTTTTTCAATTTTGGTCCATTGTAGCTCGGATGCTGTTAATCCTATAAAAAAGTTTTACACTCTCTAAATCTGAATCAGTCAAATTTCACTGATTCAGTTTTAGAGAGCATGAATTTTTTGTAGAGCATTATCTGAGTATAGCTCTCCAACTATTCTCAAGATTTTATCTCGTAATTTAAAATTTGAAAAATATTTCTCTACTTTGGTCAATTGTAGCTCGGATGCTGTTGGTCCTAACGAGAAACGCCCCATATATTTTTTTAGAGGACTATTTTGGGATAAATTTTCTACTATTCCCGAGATTTTATCTCGAAAATTTTGTATTTGAGAAAATTTTTTCCATTTTGGTCCATTGTAGCTCAGATGCTGTTAATTCTACCAAAAAGTTTTTCATTCATTTTTTGTACAGCACTATTTGAAAATAACTCTCCTACTGTTCTCAAGATTTTATCTCGTAAATTTAAAATTTGAAAAATATTTGTCCACTTTGGTCCATTATAGATCGGATGCTGTTAATCCTATTGGAAAATGCCTTATATATTTTTAATGGATCTACTATTTTAGGATAACTCTCCTACTATTTGCGAGATTTTATCTCGAAAATTTTGAATTTTTGAAATTTTATTTTCCACTTTGGTCCATTCTAGCTCGGATGCTGTTGGTCCTAACGAAAAACGCCCCATATATTTTTTTAGAGGACTATTTTGGAATAAATCTTCTACTATTCCCGAGATTTTATCTCGAAAATTTTGAATTTTTGATATTTTATTTTCCACTTTGGTCCATTGTAGCTCGGATGCTGTTGGTCCTAACGAAAAACGCCCCATATATTTTTTTAGACGACTATTTTGGGATAAATCTTCTACTATTCCCGAGATTTTATCTCGAAAATTTTGTATTTGAGAAAATTTTTTCCATTTTGGTCCATTGTAGCTCAGATGCTGTTAATTCTACCAAAAAGTTTTTCATACATTTTTTGTTGAGCACTATCTCTACTGTTCTCAAGATTTTATCTCGTAAATTTAAAATTTGAAAAATATTTGTCCACTTTGGTCCATCGTAGCTCGGATGCTGTTAATCCTAACGAAAAATGCCCCTTTTTTTGTAGAGAACTCTCTTGGAATACTTCCAGTTTAATTTCTGAGAGTTTATAGTAAAAATTTAAATATTTGAAATTTTTTCTCCACTTTGGTCCATTATAGCACGGATGCTGTTAGTTATTAAAAATTAAATGAAAAAAAAAAATGTAACTAAATTAACACCAGTAGTTTAAGTAAATTTTAGTCAGACAAGGTGACTTAAATTGGTGAATTTATTATTGATTTTACAAGATAGTACTTTTTTTTAATTATATACTATTCAACGTGATATATAAAGGAAACTTTTTCTGTCTGACATGGCTGTGCGCATCACTTAAGTAAAACAGCAAAGAGAATGAATAATCGATTATACGGTTTGTCTGTTAAGAATAAATAGAGGAGAGACATAAAATCTACGTTAAAAGGATTGAAAAAGTGGAAATTAAAATTTGCCATTTACTAAACATGGATAATAATAATTGTTTTTGAATTACTACTGTAATGTTGGTTTTTTTTACTCATTTTTAACAAATTGCAAAAATTATCTATACAATAGATTTTTTCATATTTTAATACTCTCGAAATTTGAATTAGTAAACATTTTAATTAATTTGAATGAACGACTATTTTTTGAATTTTGAATTAGTAAAATTTAACTAAGCAATGGTAAAGAAATTTTTTTTAACTATTGAATTAGTAAAATTTAACTAATTCAGTAGCAAAAAAGTAGGTAACTAATTCAAATTAGTTAAAATTTTTACTAATTCCAAATTTAGAGAATAAAATACCTGATTTTAAATTTATTGTAATTTTTTTTTTAACTTTTTTTTATTTACTGTAATTATAATTATTATTGTACAATTACTTTTTGGGTATAAAAGAAAGAAATTTTAAATATTTTCTAATTAATAAAAAATACTATCTTTTTATTTCAGGAATGGACAGATTACAATCTGCAATGGAACGAGTCAGAATATGGTGGAGTTAAGGGTCTTCGTATCACGCCCAACAAGTTGTGGAAACCTGACGTCCTCATGTACAACAGGTAACATTATCTTCTTGAGTAAATTTCCCACTGATTATATATATATAGATACTAGGAGATTCTAGTAAATTCAATAATCTAATATAAGTATCTCTTACTTAACTAATGAATTTTGAGAGAGAAAATCAAAACAGTGATGTACGTTAAGTATAAAATTATTTCTTTTTAATTTAACAAAAGAATTTAATTTCTAAATTTTTGTTATTTTTAATAATTTATAATTTATAATAACAAAATAATTTATAATAATATGTTTGTCATGAAATAATAATCTTTACGTACATCATTGTAACAATAAACGTGATAAATATATTTAAATACAAATTCTTATTTAATAAATCAAAAACATATTTTTGACAAAAAAAAAAAAAAAAAATTCCTAAAACAATAAATCTTAGAAATATAAATAAAATTTAAATTTAAATAATCTATGCGATTATAAATAAAAAAATATATATATACCGTGTTTTATATTACTCAGTTACAGCGAACCAAATTGGACGTAGTTGATTTATTTTTTTTTTACTCTTGTTTATTAGTAATAATATAGGATATATATTTTAAATTAAACCGGTAGCGTTCTTTTTAGTAAGTTTTTCAATTACAGGATATTTACCAACGTTGCCTTATATATATAATCGGGTTTGTTTGAACGAAACTTTTTTAAAGTATACATATATAGATATATAAAAAAAAAGTCGACTAATCTAATTTAACAGACATATTTTATGGTTAACAAAGATATATTTTAGAAGAGAATGTGTTTCTATTTATCTTAAAGGTAGAAATTAGATTATTAATTTTTTATTTTCGTAGAGTAGAATTTTTGTATTTTTTTTTTTTGCTTCGAACCTCTTTTTCCCAGTTTATAATTTTTTTTCATTACATTTTCTTTTTGAAAAAAAAAGGTATACAAGTTAACCGTAAAATATAGATAGAAATTGATTAGTAAAAAAACAAAAATTGAGGGAAAGGTGAAAAAAAAATTTGAAATGTAAATAGAGGATGATCGATGAAATCGCATGAAAAAACGGGATAGTGTTTATAGAATTTAGAATGTTTCAGAAATCATCGGCAAGAGAAAAGAAAGCTGCTGCTCGAACGATAATGGATAGCAGATTTTATTCGCTAAAAAAAAAAAGAAAAAAAAAAAAATTATAATAATAATAAACGCAAGTAAAACGCGCGTTCGAGTGCAGTAAGATTGAAATATTAGGACTGCGTAGTTTTTAATTTAATTTAATTTTTTTTTGAAATTTATAATATTTAATATAACAAAGCGAAGGGTATGTAATTTTGTTTTCCTCCCTCCCACCCCCCCAGTGTTGCTTCGCATCTTATTATATATATATAATATAAGTATCAAAGTATATCGAGAACCCCTTATTGATTTGCATGTCTTAATTATTTGATTCCATGCTAGAAGTATTAATAAGCAGAATATATAATTTTCCTTTATATCTTAATATATTATATATTATATATACTCGTATTATTATAATAAGTACCTACATTTTCTACTTGTAAATATACTTATACTCCTACGAATATTAATTCCCCGATTATATATAGTAGCTATATATATATATATTTATTACTTTTATACTCTTTACGAGTCGCTCAGTTTTATTTTTTTTTCGCGCTATTTTTTTTTTTTTTAAATACTTGAAAATATCGTGTAGTATTGGTGAAAAAAAAAAAGAGTTGCTGCTGCTCTCAACGAGTTTACCGAAACTCTGTATAAGAGCTCTTCAACTGGTCGACTCGTTTCGAACGCACATTTTGTACAAAGTAGGGAAAAATATTTATATATTTAATACGCGATTAGCGAACCACTATATTATTATCAATCACGTTTTCATTTGTCCCGGTTTATTCGAAAGTAATGTCGTTTTTTTTTTAAACGATTAAAATTTTTTATTTGTTTTTTTTTTTTTTGATAATTCACAGTTAATTTAGAAATATGGAATTGGTACCAAAAGTATACGAAAAGTATTAAATTAATACCAAATTATACCAAACCAAATTGATAGCAAATTTGTATCAAAAGTATCAAGTTGATACCAAATTGGTACCAAAAGTACCAAATTAGTACCAAAAGTATCAAATTAATACATAAAGTACTAATTGATACCAAACGTATTAAATTGCTACATGAAGTACTAAATTGGTACCAAAAGTATACCATAAGTGCCAAATTGGTACCAAAAGTATACCAAACGTATTAAATGGCTACAAGTACTAAATTGGTACCAACAGTATACCAAAAATACCAAATTGGTACCAAAAGTATACCAAACGTATTAAATTGCTCCAAGTACTAAATTGGTACCAAAAGTATACCAAAAATACCAAATTGGTACCAAAATTTTTACCAAACGTATTAAATTGCTACAATTACTAAATTGGTACCAAAAGTATACCAAAAATACCAAATTGGTACCAAAAGTATACCAAACGTATTAAATTGCTACAAGTACTAAATTGGTACCAAAAGTATACCAAAAATACCAAATTGGTACCAAAAGTATACCAAACGTATTAAATTGCAACATAAAGTATTAAATTGGTACCAAATTCGTATCCAAAAAATCAAATTAACACCAAAAGTATCAAATGGACATAAAAATTTGTAAAAATTTGATAATTTTAGTATAAATTTGATATTTTGAAGTTAATTGTGAAATTGACGTGTTTTCTTTTTTTTTTTAATTTCGGAGCGCTTTGAGAAACACAAAGTGAATTTAAGAAATTCTTTTTCAGCTCGCTAATCATTTCTGTTGAATTCCTACGCATCATTAACACCCCTTTTGATTATAAACTTATTTTTTTATCTCTCTTTCTCTCGTTTTTTTTTTTTAGGTATCCCAAGAATCCAAACCTTGTAGATTAACTAGTTTATAGTTACTAAAATAAACATTAATAATAATCTTGGATGACTGTGGCGGAGTGTGTGTGTGTTAAAAAGCGCGCTCTCTCTGTCCAGGTAATCCACATAATAATTGTACATCCATGCTCGCTTTTCAAACTGGTTTCACATCGATCGTATAATATCTATATATATATATATATATATTGTTGCTCTGTATTCGCGAACGTATCATTTCGCGATAACCGATACAAAATGTATCTATATATATATATACATATGCCAGCGTTAAATGTACATTCGTCAAACCTAGAAAATGGTCCCTAGAATAAAAAAAAAAAAACAAAAAAATACTGAGCAAATCCTCGAGTCTTTATGCTGACACTAATATTTTCTAGTTTTTTCTTTTTTTTTGTATATTTTATTATTTATTTAAATATATATGTATTTTTTATTTCTGTTTTTTAAAAATAGAATGCTTGTAATTCTATTTTTAAATGAAAGCATATTCTTCAATTGAGAATAATATTTTTATATAGTATTTTGAGAAAAAAATGCCAGTTTAATTCTTTCGATGAGAAAGTAGAGAAATATCGATTTAGAAGATAGGTTTTTTTTTTTTTTTCTCTGCATTCAAACTGAGTGCGAGTCATCTCCAGAGACATTCTAGTTAATTAAGTTATTAAGAAATTACTGTTTATTCAATACTGTTGTATTGCTGCATCCTGAAAATGATTTTTTAAAAAAAAAGCCTTGCATATTTATAAAGGTTTTTTTAAATACATTTTTCCATCTAATTATAATGAAATATTATTTTATAATACTTTTTTTTCTGGGTTTTTTTTTTGTATTTTTCCCTAATGGTACTTTGATTTTTTCAAATTTAACTGATTAAAAAAATATTACTATTATTATTATCATATAAGAAAGAAAGGAAAAAAAAGTCTTCTCTCTTTCTTTTGTCTTGTTTCTCTTTCAAAAATTTTTTCTCGAATATTTTTCTCAAGAATATCAACATATTCTGTCGCTTTCTTTATCTTAAAATACAAATTTCTTTTTTCTCCTCTACAGCTAAAATTTTCACTATAATACAGATATTTTATTTTCATTACTTATTCTCACATATTTTTTATTTTATCCCCCCCCTTTTTTAAAATATATTTTCTATTATTACTCTTGTAAAATTAATATTGGTATATTTACGTTCAGAAAATTTAATTCCTTTTCCTTATTTTTCCTCGATTATAATTTTTTCAAAAAGAATTATCAAATCGGTTTCTAATTTATTGTCCATCATTATGATAAATTTAGAGAAAAAAAAAAAAAAAAATTTCCCCACGGACACAAATAAATAGTTAATTGTATTAAATAAATATTTATATTTGTTTTGAAATAATTTTTTGTATTAAATAATTTTTAATTGCGCTATGTAAAATTTTTTTTATTTAAAACAAAAACTTATTGGTCTCTAAGGCAAATATATTATTTATTCGATTCAAATAAACTTTACTTGTCTCAAATAAATGAAAATAAAAAAAATAAATGTTAGGATCATTAGAAAAAAAAAAAATTAAAAACAAACTATACAGCATTTTTGAATATTTAAATAATTTTCTCCTTTGATAAATTTACGAAAATTTAAAAAAAATCGTATTTTATATTAAAAAAAAAAAGGAATGCCACATGTAAGATTAAAATTTTTTTTCTTTTTCTTTTTTTTTTTTGATAACTTATAAATCACGATATCGGATATTGTAAAAGGAATAAAGAGAGAACATTGAGCTTAAAGTTGAGCGAGACTGCGAGTTCGATTAAGTTCGACTCATAAGCCCTCTTGAATCGCGCGCTCGAGATTTAATTGGAATTATAGCCAATTTAATGCCAGTTCCAGTCGAGTGAGTTCTCGGCTGATTCGATACCGATGGAAATGAGAGGGGCACACATGTGATGTGTCGTGACATAAATGAAGACGATAATATAGTATCAAAAAAAAAAAAAAAAAAAAATAGGATAAAATTGAGACTCTCGAATAAAGTTAGACTTGCTACGCTTTCTAAAAACCTGAAAAAGTCAGGAAATTTTGCTTGCTGGGCAAAAAAAAAATTGTGTCTAAAAATTTAATATTATATAA